GGGATGTAAAGATTTTTCAGTATCCACAAATCAATTAATGCGATGCACCACATTAACAAACTGAAGAATAAAAACTGTATGATCATCTCAATAGATGCAGAAAAAACTTTTGATAAAATTCAACATTCATTTATGATAAAAACTCTCTAGAAAGTGGGCAGAGAGGGAACATATCTCAACATAATAAAGGCCATTTATGACAAATGAACAGCTAACATCACACTCAGTAGTGAAAAGCTGAAAGCATTCCCTCTAGAATCAAGAATAAGACAAGGATGTCTACTCTTACCACTATTACTCAACACAGTTTTGGAAGTCTTAGCTATAGTAATCAGAGAAGAAAAAGAAATAAAAGGAATCCAAACTGGAAAGGAAGAAGTAAAACTGTCACTGTCTGCAGATGACATGATATTATACACAGAAAATCCTAAAAACACCACCAGAAAGCTACTAGAGCTCATCAATGAATCTGGTCAAGTTGCAGGGTACAAAACTAAACTCCAGAAATACGTTGCATTTCTATATACTGACAAGGGAATATCAGAAAAAGAAATTAAGGAAACAATCCCGCTATTATCACATCAAAAATAATAAAAAACCTAAGAATAAACCTATCTAAGGAGGTAAAGACCTGCACTTGGAAAACTATAAGACACTGACGAAAGAAACTGAAGATAGCACAAATAGATGAAAAGATATACCATGTTCCTGGACTGGAAGAATCAGTATTGTTAAAATGAACATACCACTCAAGGCAATCTATAGATTCAATGCAATCCCAAAGGCATTTTTCACAGAACTAGAACAAATAATTTTAAAATTTGCATGAAAACAAAAAAGACCACAAATAGCCAAAACAATCTTGAGAAAGAAGAACAGAGCTAGAGGAATCATGCTCTCAGACTTCAGACTATACTACAAAGTTACACAGTACAGTACTGGCACAGAAACAGATACATACATGAGTGGAACAGAACACAGAGCCCAGAAATATGCCCACACACTTATGGTCAATTAACTGATGACAAAGGAGGCAAGAATATACAGTGGAGAAAAGAAAGTCTCTTCAGTAAGTGGTGCTGGGATAACGGGCAGCTACATGTAAAATAATGAAATTAGAACATTCTCTAACAGCATACACAAAAATAAACTCAAATGGATTAAAGATCTAAATGTAAGACTAGATACTGTAAAATTCCTAGAGGTTAAATATAGGCAGAACTCTTGACAAAAATTGTAGCAGTACTTTTTGGATCTGTCTCCTCAAGCAAAGGAAACGAAGCAAAAATAAACAAATGGAACCTAATTAAATTGAAAAGCTTTTACACAGCAAAGGGAACCACTGACAAAATGAAAAGACAACCTACTGAATGGGAGAAGATATTTGATAGTGCCAACTTACTCAACAGTTATGTCTTCACTTTCTTACCTGAAATCCTTAGGCCAAGATGTGCTGCACAATTCACCACTTTTGGTAAAAGGTAATAAGGTATATGAACTTAATTAAGGAATAAAGCAAGATGTGTAGCAGCACCCCATAATTAATACATGGATATTTCCATAATGAAATGCAGTAGGAATCACACTAAGAGAGATCAATCAATACTATCATCTCACTCAGCTTCATCAGGGCCAAGTCAGGGCCAAGTGAGTACAGTCAGCTCAGGTTTTGCTACCAAATAAATTATTAAAAAGCTGGTTTTCAGAGCATTTCATTATTAAGTCATGGTTAACGGATTGTGATTGTGTACCTATGTTTAAAACTTTTTAAAAGGTGAGAATAAATATACGTATAAATTATTTCATTCTTTTATAAACTTATTCTCAAAGAACTCAAAACTAAACTGAATAAAAATCAATAAGGACATTTAAAAATTGATTGCTACCAATACTGATGGCAAAAAAAAAAAGCCAGTCAAAACTGAAAATACATTACTGAACATACAATGAAATTTAAAGTGAAAAGAGATTAAATATGAGTGTGAAAATTAAGAGTTCTTATTTCTAAGGAAAATAACATATTTGAAAGACTTGACAAATATGTCTGTGAATTTTAGTAGAAATATAATTAAAAATTGGGAAAAACTGTCAAGATTGAGAATTTGGACCTAAGCTTGCTTTGCAAAAACCTAAGTACTTTCTCCACTTTAAGAACATGAAATTAGAAACTGTAATTACCACATTATGGGTATGGACTATGAAGAAGAACAAAGCAACACTGAATCAGCAAAATCATACTCAGAGAAAACACTTTAGCCTTTTATCAGAAGAGTGGTGAATAAATGAATGTACATTTATAAATTTTAAGCTGAAATAAAATATTTAAAGTATGTATTATGTTTATGATTCCAACCTGCTTTAAATGATTTTTTATTAACCCACTGTCCCTAATTATCCTCAACTGAAGACATTTGAGACTTTTCCTATACTATCTAAGAATTATTTGATTTTCAGGTTCAACATGATGTTTATTTTAGTAAACAAGCTGGGATGCCATGTTTCATGATCTGCCCAAAGCCAACTCCTTTCATAATCTTAAGAAAGGAACTTGCAACCTAATATTCCACCTGTTTCAAAACCACCTTTCCTCCCAGAAACAGGATAGGAGGTCAAAAATTTAATTAAACCTGCCCCTGGTAACGAAGAAACCTCTTACAGAAAAAGCAGCTAGGGCCACATAAGAAATAAGAAGTTTAAGGCAAATTCCATACTACTCATTCACAAGATGAAATTCAAATAGCCTTTGCTTTTCTAATGATCAGGAGCTTTGTAGGAGGTTTTATCTGCTTAAATATTATGATCTGAAACATTATTATGATACATTTATTTATACATGACTGTGATTTCTGATGTTTATATGCCAGTATCCCAATCCAAATGACTTACCTACTCAAACATGGTAAAGTATGTACCGAGATCCACAGACCTCTGTCTCAAACAAGGCTCCCTCTTCTCTCTCTGGTCTGCTGTTGTTGGGAGGAGTTCATTTCTCTGAAGGCCACCATTAGACAGCAGACTTCAGAGAAATAAATACTAACAACAGAGGAAGAGGGAACTCACTCGGCCACAAAGAGCAAAGTCAGAATTTCAAACCTATCACTGCAAACAGCAGATCATTCTCTGCACAGAGGCAACATGTAGCTTGATTATGGATTCTAAGCAATAATGACGGACTACAGTCCTGTACTCCAGAAAACTGGGAAAGGCAGAGTTCCTTCTCTTCTATTCTTAGGAAAGCAGATAAAGAACCAGATTTACTGCAAGAATACAGTTTAATATACGAATCCTTTTTCAGGATGAGGCATGAAAAAGATGAACTTATTAAACGTGTAGGAACATATGTGCTTTTGTAACTCTCTTCAGATAAGATAATACAAGAATAATTTCCTAGGATTAACTTTGCAATGAAATTTCTATATTGTGAAATTCTCTTTAGGATAATTTAATACACAGAAACTTGCAAAATCTTTCACAACCTGTGGTCAAAAAAATCTTTTATTACCTAATTATCATTACTCTATATTCTTTAATTATTGTGTATTTTGAGATTTTACTTTTATTCTAGTCCCTCTTATGACTTTCACATCTCTGTTTACTACTGGGATAGCTATTAATTCCAGAGTTGTGTCCTCAGCTACAGGGGAAAAAAAAAAAAGGATGAAATTAATAGTTACTACTTCATCATTTCACACAGAATAAAAAGGAAACTGTCACTGCTGTATTTATGAGATAAAAATAAATACTGTTTGATTTTTCTCTCTTCTTTCTTGGAAGTGAAACTGTAAGATATCTATGACTTTATAGAAGATCACTATAGAAAATACTATTTTTCTTCTCACCTGGCAAGCTTTTGCTATTATGTCTGATGGGGTATCTTGTGAAAAGGCTGGTCTTAGAGCAGCTCCCACCTAGAAAAATGAATACAAGCATTTTATTTTAAAAGATAAGTAGTTAACATAACACCTCTGGTGTCTTTGGAGATGAAAACACAAAACACATCTTTGTTCCTTTCTTCTGTATCACATCTCTTATCTCTTTTCAGTTACAAGAAACTCAACCATTCCATTTTTCTTCTGACTTCTAGAAGATTATCATTATCAAATCTGTACGAATGCTCTACCAAATAGGCAATTAATCTTGCTTCTTTTTCCTTTGTTTTTGTTTAATAGTAAATAGGATTTTCTGACAAAGCCACATATTCCCAGAGATAACAGAAAACTGCTATCCTTTTTTTTCCTGTCTATATATCCTTGAATATACTTCTAATGTTTACCTCATGGGTGACTCTCATAGAACTGACTCAATTCCTTTAAATAATTGAGTAGTACTAAAAATCCACAGTCACTGAAAGATCTTAAAGATCATTTTACCTCAGAAAGAGAGGCTTTAAAAGAAGGTTGATCAAGAAATATTAATTTATGTACTGCTATTATATTAATAAGTAAAGGAATATGAGTTTTAATTTTAACAAGCCAGTATTGGTCACAGATTCTTAGATATATTAGATTTAATATGTATGAGCTAAATAAGGAATTAGATGTAGTCAACTCTTAATTTGAGATTTCTTCCCTTACACTAGAGATTCAGTCACTAAGGCATATCAACAGCAGTCTGGAAATCAATTAAGAGCCCTTTGCTCTGACTAAAGACACAAGAGAATTAATCACAGTATTCATACTGCAGTAATCAACTGCAGTATTTCAATAATCTTATTGCAAAGCTGGTACTAGATCCTATACTGAAGGAAAAAGAGAGTATACTAGAGAAGACATTATTGGGTTGACAGATAAAACTGAAATATGATAGATTACATAAAAGTAGTGTATCAATTCTGAACTTCATAAAATTGATAACTATTCTATGGTAATGTAAGACAATATTTCTGCCTTTGGAAATACAGACTGAAGTGTTCAAGGGTTAAGATACATGATTTAGATAATTTAAATTGTTTAGGAAAGAAAAAGTGAGTGAGTGTGCATGTGTGTGTGTGTGAGTTGTAGAGAGAGAGAAAAAAGGGCAAATGTCAAAGCAAATGAGGCAAAATTCTCAATTGGTAAATATGAATGAAGGGTATAAGATAGTTTTTTGGTACTATTTCTGTAAGCTTGAAATTATTTCTAAATAGAAAGTTTTTTTTTAAAAATGCCTTCATTCTGATAGTTTGAGTATTTGGGAATAAATAATTATAGACAGGTTTTCTACAGCCAGTGGGGTTAGGAAGTATAATTTCTTTACCTGGATGGATAGACGGAAAAACATCGATTATATATTATTCACACTTTTTAATTTTGTGTATGTGTTAGCATAGCTACTAGGTGAAGTATGATGTGTCTGGAGTCAAGATTTTGGAATAATCACAGTAAAAAAGAAATGTTTATTATTTCCTTGCTGATGTAAATTTTTTTTTTTGCTTTCACATAATCCACCATTACTCAGATTAAATCTATTGTACCTCATTTGAATATAAATAAAGGTATAAATATCAGGAGAAACAAGTATATCTCTGTTTAGAATAAAATTAAAAAATCTTTTGAAAGTATATAATTCTTTCAGTAATACTTTAACTTATTAAAAGTTAATTTATCCTTCAGCACACAACAGGTGATTGCTTTTTATTTTTAAAAATGCTTATCAAGTCTTGACATATAAAAATAATGGCAGCAAATCCACAACACTCTTTGGCTGTTCCTTTTATCTCTACACAGCACAGCTAAATACCTAAACACAAGATTGGAAAGCCAGCCTGGAACATCTATTCTAGTTTTATCACTAATATTATATCAAGACTTAAAAATAGTAACAAGTTTTATACTATTGTTTCTTCAACTGTGAGTTGATTCAAACTATGTCACAGACTATGGGAGTAAATATATGCATTAATGTGAATAAATAGGTTACAGGTCCAAATACGTTTCTCCAGGGAATCTTCGCTCCTTTAACGCCTACTCAAAAGATCAATTTTAATTTTGAAACATATAGAATATCTCACATTAGCTTGATACTGCTCCAAAATCACATGTCCTGGAAATTCTGGCTCAGGCACAGACGCAAACTTCTTGATAATGTCCTCAAGTGCTTGGAGCCCAGCCATCCGCAGCTGGTTACTATGATCAGTTGCAGCCATGAATGCCATGCGAATCAGGTCAGAGAGATGAAGTACCAAGAGGTCATCTAAAAATAAAAATAGAAAGCAAAAAGTAAAACTTTTCCAAAAGTAAGTGTCATAAAAATATAAAATGAAGTAAATTTCTTTAAAAAAGCATTTATGATCCACATGTTTCACCATGTTTAGAAATAACAAAGATACACTTTCAAGAGAGCTTCCATACCATGATCTCTTAAGTACACTGGTAAGCCTTTACACAATGTGATAACACAGATGAAGTTATAGGATGTATAATGACATTGGAAGCAAAATAACTGATTACCACAACTTTCCCCAAAAAAGCTTGTGATCTTTTTGTCAACAGGGATTGACAAACTTTTGTAAAAAACCAGAAAGTAAATATATTTGCATTTGCTGGCCATATAATTTATACCGTAACTACTCAACTCTGCTCTTGCAGTATGCACATAAACCATATGTACACAAATGGGTGTGCCGTGCTCCAATAAAACTATTCACAAAAACAGACTGTGAATTGGACTGAATTTGGATAGCAAGCTATAGTTTGCCAACCTCTACTCTGGAAAAGACTTTTATAAGGATAAGATGTAGAAAAAGGAAGTCTTTTCCTGTTAGCCTTAGAGTAAAGGCTGTCCTGGATCAGCCCTATTAAAGCTTAAGGCAAGTCTGAAAAAATTCAAAAGATACCAAATAATTTAGCTACATCACAAAACAAAATCCAGCACTATCACAAAATCCAGCACTAACATAATAAAATTTGCAATGTCTGGCATCTAATGGAGAATTACCACAGATGTAAAAAAAGCAGAAGAATATATCTCATAACAAGGAAAATGAAAACAAAAACCAATGAACAGAAATGTTGGTCCAGAAATGAAAGAGATAACAGAATTAGCAGATAGGGACTTTTTAATAGATATTATAAATAGCTATTATAAACACATCACCTAAATAAGAGAGAAAACCACAAGTGGGATTTCTAGAGATATAAAAAGATATCTGAAATGAAAAATACACTGAATAAGATTAATAGTGATTAGATACTGAAAAAGGAAAGACTGGTGAAATTAAAGATATAGCAAAAGAAATTATCTTAAGAATTTATCAAGCTTAAGAATTCTAAAAGATCATGAGGCTGCAAGGCTCTCACAGTCTTTTTTGAAGCAGTGGTAATTCTGTGGCTCAGCCTGATCCCAAATCAATTCCTGTTTAAAGAGGGTTTTGTTGTTATTGCTATTGTGAACGTTACTAGCATATTCCAGTTTTTTTACATGCCTACCTAGAATAGCAATTTTAGAATTTTAACTCTAAAAAAGAAGATCTATTTATTTTGGGGAGGGGAGCAAAATGGAGAGAAAAATACTTTCGGCTAGAAGCCCCCAATGCTTCCTCACTTAAGGAAGGCAAAAACACACCATCAATAAAAACTAATGATATAATAAACTTTTGCCAGAATTTGGGAGGAAATTTCCAAGGTGGAAGAAACTGGATTAAAATGGGCTTATTCAGATTATGCCAACCCAAAAGTAAATAAAAAGACCCATTAGTCCTCCTAATACGCTCTGTCACCTAATTTACAATTTATATCAATCTAGAATGAAAAACTAGGCAATTGTTTCGGGAATGAAAGTTTTGTTGCTTCTGTACTCAATCTCTACATAACAGCCTTTATGAAATTAAGACCTCTATCTTTTGTCTAAATCTAAGGAAATGAACTCCTAAAGGGGCACTGAGCAGAAATTCTGAAATAAGGAGAGAATTAGGGGACTGATAGAGGTTTATTACATTCTGGGACTTTCTGACCCACAGAACTGTAAGTTAACAATTTTCTGTTACTTTAACCCACTAAGTTTGCTGTCATTTATTAGAGCAATAATAGAAAACAAATATAAGCAGCCTCTTCTACCTGGAAAACCATTTTTCTGCCTCTAAAACCCAGCTTCAAGATGACTTCCTCTGTTACATCTTCCCCGGCTCTTCAGGAAACAAACAGTCCTTTTTTATGCTCCCAAAGTATTCTTACCATTCCACTATTGGGATATATAATTATTTGAGTGACAAATCTGGCTCTTTGTCTTCTAGACTAGAAATGCTTCAAAAGCATGGACTATGTTTTTTTTTCTCCTTTGGATCCTCAATGTATAGCAAAGAATAGGACTCAGTAAATATCTGATAGATAATGACATGAAAAGGGACACTATGTTCATGATATATCATGCTTTGCTAGTATTCTATATTCAGATTCACATTTTATACATAGTGTATATACTACTGTTTTACTTTTCATTTGTTTGTTTTTTTAATCCATTTGTGAGTTCTACTGCATCTTATACACAATAAAATAAACTGAAAGGCATTTTTAATGTATAGACTTCAATACTGATGATATATATAATGTGTCTTCAGATATTTAAAAAATGACAGGATGATGAAGAGACAACAAAATATAAGATAAGAGAGTCTGTTACTCTGCCACTTCTCTCAGCTTCTCTGGGTCTCTTCACTTGTAAGTGAAGATACTGGACCTGATGATCTCTTTGTAAATTCCCTATAATATCTGATTCAGGAGATATACGGCATAAAAGCTTACAAATGATCAAAAAGTAAAGGGTTTTAGTAACAAACAATTTTCACCTTTCCAAAAATACCTAACAACATTTCTGAAATCTGAGAGTTTGAAATCTGCCATGGTATTCATGAATTCTGACATTCTCCATAGCAGGGGACTGCAAAACTCACTTTATGCACTTTAAACTTTTGCCATCTCTTTTACAGTGAAGTGCTAAAAGTAGGATAAGGTACCAAGGAAACCAAAGTTACTGCCGTCATTATCCTTTGGGCAAATGATTAAGATAAATATATCTTAAGATAGGTATATAACTTTGGACCACTTTTTTCAACTTATCTTCCAAATATGGATCAGAAGATGGACAATATGTAGAGAGGACGGAAAACAAAGGTAAAAGGCAAAGAAACTTACAATAAACAAAAGGCACAGTCTAAAGCATGTTACAAAGCAGTAAAATATTTCAAACTTATAAAAATACTCTGGGGAAAAGAAGCACTGATTTTAAATTTACTTGTAGGGTTTCGTAGTTTAGCAGAACGTGCCATGGCAAGATCAAAGTGAGCCTGGTCCGCATTCTCACACAAATTGATGATTCGACACAGGCAATCAGCAGCAAATACTCGAGTGGCCCAGCGAGGTGCCACAAAGGGCTTTGACTTATCTTCTTCTCCTAGTGTGGTAAACATGGTATCATCATCCATCTCATCTTTCTTTTCAAATTCTTCATCTTTTCCACTACTTAAGGGAGTTGCAGTACTCATATCTGTAACAAAAATAAAGGCATAACAAAAATAAAGGCATAACAACCTCACATATAGTAAAAATGATGCTTTAGAAATAGCATTAATGTTTGAAGATTTCTAATTTAAAAATAGACTAAATTTTCACTTTGAAAACAGTAGCACTGGCAAATTTCTTCTTTTAAACAATCAGGAAGAAACCAAGGAAAGGATACATAAAAGTATTTTACATATTTCACTAGTTTACATTTTATGTCAAACTACAGAGTAACCTGGGATTTTTATATACAATAATTTAATTTGAACTTAGTCATTTTCCAAAAAAATAACCAAAGTTCATTAGTTTGTAATATATTTGACCTTCAACATTTTACAGGGATTTATAGATTAACAATTATTAATATTTTTAAACATAAGCTCAAATTTATATATCTATATCTATATAGAAATAATTTTCCTTATTTTAAGAACACATTTTATGTATTGAATACGTACCACTAGAAGCTGCTAGGACATCTTTACAAAGCATTAGCCAATGGGAAAGTTTTTCTACAGCCAGCGATGAAAGCATATGTCCCAAAGTATCATGAATATCAGAACATAATTTTCTATCTGTCTCCCGGTCTAGCATTCCAAACAGAAGTCCCTCAAGACCAGTTTCTGTTATATTAACACCTTGGTGCCGGCAATGGATATCACTTCGAGAACT